CGTATGTGCCAGTACATCTGAGCCAATTGGTTGTGAATATGAACTTTTGTGGAGTGCTTCTCTGAGTCATTGGCTCAAATATTGTTTATGTTTCCTCATATAATAAATTAATTTTTTAAAAAATTTCTTGTATTTTATTTCTTGTATAGTCCTCAAATGACTTAAAATTTAAGACCCATTTGAAAGGCAAATTTGAAAATGGTTTGTTATGACTATATATTTTAATGTAAGATGGAAATTCTGCTATAGCATGAGAAATTTCAGAATGCTAACATTGAGCCTTACAATACAACAGCTGTTCATGAAAGCACTGCTTTTTGTGTATGAATTTGCTCAATTTATTGAAGCCATGATGCTGGGTACTGCTACTAAGATTATGCTAAATTGTCTCAGTTGTTGTATATGACACAAAGACAAATGTGATATATATTTCATATTTTACATATAAAATAAATATATGGTACTTGTATATCATAAATATATATATAAGTTCTAGATAAACATGAGTGTTATGGTGATTCATAAATATGAAATATGAGGATGACTAGCTTTTTGTGAACATTATATAAATATTATGTTTATAAAATCAAAATGAATTGCTTCTGTGTTTCGAAAAAAATCACACATTGAAAGGTGTCATTGCAGAACATGAGCTAGATATACGCTGTTTTTAATAATTCCTTTGCTGCTGAAGGTGTTCTTTCAGTTTGCAAATATATAGCTATAGGATGTTTTTCTTTTTAAAAATAGCTTTATTGAAGTATAATTGCTCCACAAAAACACACATATTGAATTTGTACAGTTTAATAAGTTTAGACATTTGCAAACACTCATGATATTATCATCACAGGCAAGATGCCACACCTCAAAAAGCTTCATTGTGTTTCATTTTTATTTTTTAAAAAAATATCTTTTCTCATTTTACATACCAATCCCAGTTCTCACTCCCTCCCCTCCTCTCACTCCCTTCACTTTCTCCACCACCCTACCCCCATCCACTGCTCAGAGAGGGTAAGGCTTCCCATGGGAAGTCAATAAACTCTAGCACATTGCTTTGATGAAGGACCAAGGCCCTCCTCACTATATCTAGGCTGAGCACGGAATTCCTCTGAAGAGAATGGGTCCCAAAAACCAGTAGAATCTGTAAGGATAGATCCTGGTCTCACTGCTGGTGGCCCCACAGTCTGCCCCAGCCATCCAACTGTCACCTACATTCAGAGGACCTAATTTTGACCTATACTGGCTCCCCAACTGTCTGGCTGGAGTTGGTTGGTGCTCCCATTATCTTAGGTAAACTGTTTCAGTGGATGTCCCCTTTATAGTCTTGACTCCGTTGCTCATATTATCAATGTTTCATTTTTATTTCTTATTTTTCTTTTTTGGCAGAACACAACAAGAAAACTACTCTCTTAGTTCATAATAATCTTTTAAAAAAATTTATGCACAATGTTGTATAGCTGTTTTGCCCCTTCTTGAGGGAGGGGTCAAGGTTTGTGAGGCACAGGGGTGGGGCTTTCTTACCCCTCTCCTGGGGGGGGGGTCAAGCTTTGGTGTGCACAGAGACAGGGCCTCCAAAGATTGAGGTCAGAGACTGGGATTTTATACTTCCTAGCTAGGCTTGTTTACAGTTTTCACCCCTCCTCCAACCCCAACTGAGTTCTTACTGCTCCCTACAAACTGACATTTTGCTTGTCTCCTGGGGGGAGGATCTAGAGTATATGTGTATATATCTATATCTATATACACACATTGTATATGTGTTTGGGGGCAGACAAAAGCGGGGCTCCATGGATGAAGTTAAAGGGCAGGCCTCATCCGCTCTGGGTGCAGCAGCCCTCAGTTGCCTCCACCTATGCTTTGTATATGACAACACAAAACAAACTCTGATATTTTTGTAGACATTTTGTTTTATAGTACTTTGTTTTGGTATTTTGTTTTTGTCTTGTTTGTTTTTTGCTTGAATATTATAGCTTCCAATTTTCTGTTCTTATAGGTTCTGGTCATGTGTGAGTATTTGTGTGTGTGTATTGTGTGTGTGTTTTCTTTTTTGTGGTTTTTTTTTTCTAAAGAGAAAAAGAAAGGGAGTGGAGTTGAGAGGGTAGGGAGACGGAGAGGGTCTGGGAGGGTCTGGGAAAAGGAATCTGATCTGAATATATTGTATGAAAACAGATTTATTTTCAATAAAATGTGCTTTTTTATAAAAAGATGAGGAATGAGGTGAGGGACGTAGATATTCCTCTATGGCCACATTTCTCTGCGTCTCTCTTAAAAAAGATGAGTTTTTTTTCTAAGTAGTGAAAGTTGTACAGCCTGCTGAATGTGGTGGGACATGTCTTTAATGTCAGACATTTGAGGCAGAGGCAAACTCTGGTCTAAATAACGAGTCCCAGACTAGCCAGGGATGCATAATGAGACAAAATATTACACATATTTATGAGGAGGTGTGTGATATTTTAATACATGTATCCACTGTGCAATGTTCATAGTAGAAATAACCGGGTCTACCTCCTCAAACATTTGGCATTTCCTTCTAGTGAAAGCATTCATAATCGTTTTTTCCTAGCTATTTTGTAATGCACAGCACACTGTCACTATCTGTAGTGACCTGGGAATAGAATAGTAGAAAGTCCTTCTTGTATCTAACTATAGCTTAAGGGATATATATTTTATGAATGTCTTTGCAACTGAAAAAGCACTCAGACATGCCAATTACATGTGGTAATAAAATGGATAATGTTCTCAATAGGTTTTCTTGTTCAGGAAAAGGTACTTCATAGCAGCAAAACTTGGTATATTAAGCACACACCCAGAAACCTTGAACCCCTTCTTTCACACTATACCACAAACCCTGGCAGATGAAGTCCCTGTTGTGCAGAGCCATTCTGTAGAACACAGGTGTGTCCAACCTGTTCATCATATACAGCAGAGTTACCCATGCAGGAGACCCAACACTTTGTTAAAACATTACGAGGTTGGTTTTTGCAATCTTTTTTTAACTGGCTGCATAGCTCTCAAGCATGAACTTCGTAGATGACAGTTCTGTTTTATGTCAAACGGTTGGGCACACCTGCTAGGAAAGGCCTCTACATACTACATCATGGTATTTTCTATGCAAATTATTAGGGTTCAGCAGTGTTGGTTTGAGCAGGGTTTGGAACCAGGACTACCTTTGAGGCGTGTACAACAGCAGCATCTCTACAGCAGATGATGAGAAAACTTTCAGCATTGACTGTAATATGCCAACACCTTGTGTGGGAGAGGAATTTCAGGGTTTGCTGCTCCCCAAAGAAAATATGTGTGGAGGTAGATTTGAAAATTCTGTGTGTACTTTTCCTCCCTCTCTGCCTCCCATCCTGAATTAATTTTCTATCCTAATGATGAGTTTCTGATTGAAACCTGATTAGCCTACTTCCTAGAATGCTGGTAATACCATCCTCTTTATATACCTGCATTATGCATACTGGTTTAGTTTCTTATCAGTTTGCTTCTGATCTTAATTGCCTCAAGTCTACAGCTAATGAGTGAGTTTTTGTAGTGAGTGACAGGACTCAAGAAATAAAATGGGATGTAAAATTTCTATTTCAGAGCGGTTTCAAGACCTCCTCAACTACCACCACGATAGCACTGAGAAGGGCACTCTGCTGTTGCCTTCTCCTACCAAGAGGACTTTCTTAAATGGAGTGGCAGAATTGCCATCCTCTCTAGTAACTAGAAGGATCTAGCACACACATGTACAATTATTTTCAAGCCAATTGGGGATGTTGTTGTGACAGTAGTCACTGTATTCAAAGTAATCAGCATGGTCCTCCAAGCCTACAGCAGAAGCAAGAATTGCAAATTGAAAACAGAACCACTACCATGTCAGGTAAACTTAAGAGACACTCACTGTGAGGCTGGAGAGATGGCTCAGTGGTTGGGAGCACTGTCTGCTCTTCCAGAGGACCCAGGTTCAATTCCAACACCCACATGGCAGCTCACAACTGTCTGTAACTCCATTTCCAGGGGATCCAACACCCTCACAGATGTACATGCAGGCAAAACACTCTGAAAAGTGCACACAAAATAAAAATAAGTTGTTTTAAAAAGACATTCACTGTGATTGAAACTACAGGACTACTATTCTTTTTTAATTTTTTAAATTTATTTATTAAAAATTTCCACCTCCTCCCCTCCTCCCATTTCCTTCCCGCTTCCCCCACTCCCCCTCCCCCCTCCCTCTCCAGTCCTAAGAGAAGTCAGGGTGCCCTGCCCTGTGGGAAGTCCGAGGCCCTCCCCTCTCCATCCAGGTCTAGGAAGGTGTGATCCAAACAGACTAGACTCCCCAAAAGCCAGTACATGCAGTAGAATCAAATTCCAGTGCCATTATCATTGGCTTCTCAGTCAGCCCCCATTGTCAGTCACATTCAGAGAGTCCAGTTTGATCACATGCTCATTCAGTCCCAGTATTCTGTGAGGCTATTTCTCTTTTGGGATAGTTTTGTCTGTCTACTAAAAGCTCCCATTGTGGAAAAACACAGTTTGGTTAAGGAACTATATAGCCATATTTTAGTATCAGCTCACAGGCTCCAAAATAATTCACTACCCATCTAGACCGTCAGTCTCTCCCTTTAGTGTTCCTAAGAACAAAAATTTATTGCAAGAAAGAAGTAAAATGTTTTATTATTTCATCTAACCTCCTTGTGGACTTCTAGTTAGCTGGTTTGACACATGTGGAAGGATTCTTTCCCATGCTTTAGAAAGAGTCAAGACATTCCAGTGTTTAAAAGGATAGAAGAAAGACCTGCACTTATATTTCTTAAAAATATTTCCTGTATTTCATGTATGAATTTCATCTGTCAATATTTGGATTTACAAGATTAGTGGGAAAATGGGTTCAGCCACTTCTACCAGAGGGCAAATCTTTCACCTATGAAAGGCCTAGTGTCACCTAATCCTGCAGTTGAAATCTGATCTTGACTATGCTGAACTTGTCTTTATTAAAGTATGGATAGGGTCCAGGAACAGCAGGAGTGATACCATGATCATGAAGATGGTTTCCCCAGGGGGAGGCTTATTCATTGCACTCCAGTTGTGTTGAATGAACTCTGTGATGTCCCCAAATGTGGGAAAGTCAACTGCACAATTTCTGGTAGTGGAGTACTGTTTGATCTTTCTCCTACTAAATATATTTATAAGAAAAAAGAAAGGGTCCAGGAAGTATATTAAGGCAGAGTAGTTTTTACTTACTAGGGTCAACACTTTTCACCCAGTACTATGGGTTACATTGAAAACAAATTCCTATTTTTCTGCCTGAATTTTGACCTCATTTCCTAGGTTTTAGAACTCCTTGGAATTTCTTTATATACCATTTTCTACTGTTCACCCTGAATTTATTTTCTCCTTTCTCTGGAGAATTGATTCTTAAGGAAAAAGAAAAACAAGGTTTCTATTAAGCCCCAAAGAACTACTCAGGTATGCAGGGCTGTTTGTACCCTGACAGAGCTGCCTGGAGTTAAAGGATAAAACAAATATTATTAAGGTCCCAATTATAATTATTTAGCCACCCGGAAGGCTGCACTTCCAGGTCCTAAGGCAGGCACATGTGGGTGGACCCTTGGGAACAGGGCCCGCGTGACCCTATGTGCACATGCGTGGGTCACCTGCCATCTGCATCATAAGCGTCATTTGCATGACATGCTCATGCAAAACCCCTGTGTGCATGTGCAAGGCTTAGGGTCGCCCGTCATCAGCGTCTGATGTAGGCACATCTTCCCCTGTGTGCTGGCACCTACCTTTACCCCTCCCCTCACACGTTCGTGTGCCACCAAGGAACCTAACCCTAACCAAGCCAAGCTTGCTACAGTTCTCCCATTGCGAGAGGTGGCTGGCGTAGATGGATTGATTGATTAGGGTACATGTTCCTTTTTCTCTCTCAGAGCTTTCCCATATAGAAAAGTTACTGGGTTCCTATATGTCTAATCCTACCACTTTCATAAAACAATTCCAATATCTTACCCAATCTTATAATCTCACCTTTCATGACATCTATATGATCCTATCTAATAACCTACTTCCTGAAGAGCGCAGGTGGGTTTGGGAGCAGGTCAGGCAACATGCAGACAACATTCACCAGACTCTTGCCTCCCACCCTCCCGGAGCAGAGGTGTTCCCAGAGCAAGAGCCACACTGGGATTATAATACTCCAGGTGGGATCTTAGCTAGAGACCAGTTTTTGACTTGCCTCCTGGCAGGTCTATGTAAGGCTGCCCACAAGCCAGTAAATTATACTAAACTCTCAGAAATCATTCAGAATACGAAGGAAAATCCTTCTGCATTTTTGGAACACCTCACAAAAGCTCTGTTACAGTATACTAACTTAAATCTAGAAACTACCGAAGGCAGGCAGTTACTCATGACCCATTTTTTTAATCAGTGCTACTCTGGCATTAGGGCTAAGCTTAGACGTTTGGAGAAAGTCCCCTTGACCCCGCAGGCAGAAGTCTTAGAGTTGGCTTTTAAGGTGTACCATGTGAGAAATGACAAAGCCAGCAATCACTGTCATGTGTTAGCCATGGCCTCCTGACTGGCTGAGGTGACAGACTGCCCGATCCATGCTGTCTGTGCTGCTCCCCCGCCCCCCAGGGCTCAAGAACTGCCAGGTCAGTGTTTCAAATGTGATAAAACTGGTCACCAGGCCTGAGCATGCCCTAATCCTCATCCTAGTCCCAAGAGACCTTGTCCGAGGTGTCATAGGGAAGGACATTGGTCAGTAGATTGTCCTCGTGCACATGTGCATGGAGACATTGGACCCAGAAAATTCCCAAGTTGACCTTCTAGGTCTAGCCATAGATGAGTGAGGCTTCCCGGGCTTCTTTGACCCGATCACAACCGTCATCTGTAATGAGGAGCCACGGGTACTCATGGTATCAGGACGGCCCATCTCCTTTCTCTTGGACACTGGAGCCACATACTCGGTACTGAGGGAATTCTAGTTTCCCTATTGTCGGGGTAGGGGGACAGCCTTATCTACCTCAGCAGACCCCACCACTTAACTGTGTGTTTAGGGGTATTTATCTCACTCATTCATTTTTAGTTATGCCGACCTGCCCCGTATCTCTCATGGGAAGGGATTTTTAAACAAAGGGATTTTAAAAATGGTAGGAGCCTCCATTTCTTTTGCTTCCATTTACCTTACCCCAGACTCTCCAACAGCTCCCCTCCTCCTCCTTCTAGCCTCCCAAACTTACAACCCTAATGTATCTTTTCCCCCTACCAGCCTCCCAGGTAGACCCCCACGTCTGGACACCCAAAACCCCTCCGTTGCTAAACACCATTCCCCCATTGTTATCCAATTACAGGACCCTACTAAGTACATTACCCAAGCTCAGTACCCTCTTTCTCTCTCTCCAGACCCTTAAGGGACTTAAGCCTATTATTTCTGACCTTTTAAGGAAAAAGCTACTTCGCCCCACCTCTTCTCCCTTTAACAACCCTATACTTGCTGTTAAAAAATCTAATGGAACTTATCGTCTGGTTCAAGACCTCCGGCTCATTAACTCTGCAGTGGTCCCTCTCCACCCAGTAGTCCCTAATCCTCTCACCCTTCTATTCAATATTCCTCCAGGAACCTCCCACTTCTCAGTTCTCGACCTCAGGGATGCTTTTTTCTCTATTCCTCTCAGTCCTCAATCTCAAAACATCTTTGCCTTCACCTGGACTGATCCTGACACTCACTTCTCTACACAGCTCAACCTGAACTATCCTTCTCCAAGAATTCTGGGACAGACCATACCTGTTTGGCCAGGCTTTAGCTTCTGACCTGCTCTCACTGCCTCTCCCTAAATCTAAACTCATATGGTATGTGGGCGACATTTTACTTTGCAGCCCATCATTAGAGATCAGCAAAACTGATACCTTCACTCTTTTAAATTTCCTGTCCAAAAGGGGCTATAGAGTCTCATCTTCTAAGGCCCAACTGTCTACCCCTCAGGTCATTTATTTGGGATTAACTATAACCCCAACACAAAAGGCTATTACTGTAGACAGAAAAAAACTAGTTCAATCTCTTGCAGTTCCTCCCACCAAAGAAGAGGTTTTATTGTTCCTAGGAGTAGCTGGCTTCCTGCATTCCTGGATCCCCTCTTTTTCTCTTGTCGCCCGCCCCTTATATGAAGCAGCTCTCGGCTCTCTGCATGAGCCCCTTCCCCACCCTGTTACTAAACTCTTCCAGAGGCTCCAGCAGGCCCTTATCCAGGCTCCAGCTCTTCATCTTCCAGATTTAACTTGCCCCTTTTCTCTTTATGTAGCAGAGAAGAAGGTATATGCACTTGGGGTCCAAGAACATCAACTGGGACCTTCTTTTGCACCTGTAGCATACCTGTCAAAGAAGGTGGACCTCTCCACTCGGGGCTGGGCACCCTGCATACGTGCCTTAGCGGTTGCTGAGCTTCTTATTCGTGAGTCAAAAAAACTAACCTTTGGGTCACTCACCACTGTCTTCTCCCACCATAATCTGTCCCACCTCTTAACTTACAAAGGTTTACAAACCCTACCCACTTCTGGACTTCTTTCCCTTCAGGTCGCACTGGTAGAAGATGCCACACTCACTTTCCAATGCTGCCCACCCCTTAATATCTCAAATCTCCTACCTCAACCTAATGTAATGATTCCCCATCTCACACCTGCATAGAGATCTTAGAGGATCTACTACCCCACCCCTCACATATACAGGAGGGTAAACTTCCCCAAGCCACTTATACCCGGTACACAGATGGTAGCTTCTTTTTATGTGACAGGACCCGTAGAGCAGGCTATGCCATAGTATCAGATACTGAGATATTGCAGGCACGGGCATTTCCCGCCCATACCACTAACCAGCAGGCTGAGTTGATAGCTCTTACCCGTGCCTTCCAGTTAGTGAAAGGGCAATCTTTAAATGTTTACACAGACTCCAAATATGCCTTTCGTATACTCCTGTCCCACACGGCTATCTGGAAGGAGCATGGGCTTCTTACAACGAAAGGAGGATCCACAACTAACTCAGGTTACATTATGGACCTGTTAAAAGCCTCCCATCTCCTGAAGGCTATAGGAATTATTCACTGTCGGCCTCATCAGACTGACAGTTCCATTATTTCCAAGGGAAATAATCAGGCTGACCAAGCAGCTAAAACAGCAGCATTCCAAAGCCCAAACCTACCCCAGTCACCTCAGGGGGTTCATACAGTACAGCCCACACTCTCACAGACACCCCCTGACACTCAGCAGATTCTGTCCTACCTACATCAGTTTTTATCCTAATAGCAAAGCTTTGTTTCATTTTGTTAGGCTCACCTCCAACCCACCCCTGAGGACATAAAGTTCCTAAAAGCTATCACTGCCTCCTGTCAAATTTGTCAAAAGTCAGATCCCAAGACCAAATATCGTAGCTTTCTTTTTCCCACCCACTAGGCCAGGGGCTCCCTTCCAGGAACTGACTGGCAGCTGGATTTTACTCATATGCCCATGGTCAGAAGAGTTAAATATCTCCTGGTCTTGGTGGACACAGTGTCTGGGTGGCTTGAAGCGTTTCCCATCACTAATAAGAGGGCCCAGACAGTTTCTGATGTTCTTCTCCAAGAAATCATCCCCGGGTTTGGAATCCTAACCTCTCTTCAGTCCGATAATGGCCACAAATTCACTTCCTAGATTTCCCAAAACTTGTCTAAGGCTCTTAACATCCCTTGACATTTTCATATCCCATGCCACCCTCAGTCTTCAGGGAAGGTAGAACTGACTAACCGCTCTTTACAAAATGTTCTTGTTAAAATGTAACAGGAACTTCACATCAACTGGGTAAAACTTTTGCCGCTGGCCCTACTAAGACTTAGGGCTCTCCGCAAAAGCCCCCTTTTCATCTCACCCTTTGAACTCATGTATAGGCGGCCACTTTTAACCCCCAGCCTCTCACCTAAACCCTCTCCCCTTCCTGATCACCTGCTTATTCCCCTGCTATCTCATCTATGCTCCCTACTGTGGGATTTACCGACCACTCATTACCTCAACCATGTGCTAACTCATGCCCACCACTGATTATAATAAGGGATCAGGTACTATTTTCTCCCCCAGACCAACGTCCCTCACCCATTTCCCCTAAATGGCAGGGTCCCCTTAGAGTAATTCTTCTGACTCCCACAGCTC